GGGGGGGGGGGGGGGGAGGTGGGGGGGGGGGGGGGCGGAGGGGGGGGGGGGGGTTGGTTGGGGGGTGGGAAAAAGGTTTTGGGCAGTCAGGGGACAGGTAGGGGGTAGGGTCCTAGGGGGCCAGTTAGGATGGGGGGAAGGTCTCAGGAGGGGGCAGTCAGGGGACAAGGAGCAGAGAGGCTTAGGTAGGGGGTGGAGTCCTGGGGGGCAGTTAGGTAGGGTTACCATACGTCCGGTTTTTCCTGGAAATGTCCGGCTTTTTGGTCCTCAAATCCCCGTCCGGGGGGAATTGCCAAAAAGCCGAACATGTCCGGGAAAGTAGCTTTGCTGGCATCCCTGCCCCAGTCCCCTGCTTATCTTGCGGCTCCCGCAGGCTGTGAGCTGCAGGCGGATTCCCCCGCGGCGGCTGCTGCTGCTCCCCCCAGACATCTCAGCTCTGTATAGCTGAAGAGCCGAGCTGCCCGAGCACTACCAGCTTCACGGTTTGCCGGGCAGCCACCAGACGTCCAGACCCTGCGCCCCCAGCTGGGCGCTTCCCCTCCCAGGCTCCGGCTCGCGCTGGGGAAGCGCCCGGCCAGGAGCAGGGTCTGAAGGTCTGGAGGCTGCCCGGCAAACCGTGAAGACGGTAGCGCTCGGGCAGTGTTTCGCGCTTGGGAGGGAGGAGGGGGAATGCGAGGCGCTCAGGGGAGGGGGTGGAGTAGGGGCGGGGACTTTGGGGAAGGGGCGGAGGTGGGGCAGGGCCGGGGGCAGGGCCAGGGCCCTGTGGTGTGTCCTCTTTTTTTAATGAGGAAATATGGTAACCCTATGGGTTGTGCTCCGGCCGGTGTCGCGGGGCTTGGAGTCGGGCCGGAGGTGTTCAGCCGGGGCTGGGCCGGCGCCCTCGGCCGGAACCAGGACTGCCACCCTGGGGCCTGGGCCGGGCCGGAGCTGCTGGGGCCGGGGGTGCGCGGCAGGCACTGCTCGGCCAGGGCCGGGCTGGTGCGCTCAGCCGGAACCGGGGCCGCCGCCCTGGGGCCCGAGCCGGGCCAGAGCCGCTGGGGCCGGGCTGGCGTGCTCGGCCAGAACCGGGGCCGCCGCCCTGGGGCCCAAGCCGGAGCTGCCGGGGCCAGGGCCGGAGCCGCTGGGGCCAACGGGAGCCACTGGGTCCGGGCCGGAGGGAGCCGCTCGGCCAGGGCCACGCCTCCCCGGAGCTCTCCTCTCCCCCCCGCCCCAGCTTACCTGCTGCTGCTGCCCGCCTGCCCCTGCTTCTTTTCAGACTTCCCGCGAAGATCTAATTCGCGGGAAGCAGGGGAGGGGGAGGAGCAGGTGGGCGGAGCGTTCAGGGAAGGGGAGGAGCGGGAAGATAGCTGCGGGGCCGGACGGCGTGGTAAGGCTGCAGGGGCTGCAGGGGATGGGGGGAGCTGGGAAGGGGCTTTGGCTGCCGAGCGGCGCCTTTTTCTGTCTGTAAATAGCCGACCAGGGGGAAATCCCGGACATTTTTAGATTTTTAGAAACTCCCCCCCCCCTTCCCCCCCCAGACGGCTATTTATAGACCAAAAAGCCGGACATGTCCAAGGAAATCCGGACATATGGTAGCCCTACCATTGGGTAGATAGAAGGATTAACCTAAATAATCTATACAGAAGCCCCTGGAACCCCATAAGATTGGGTCCCAATCCATGAACTATTGGAACTCATTTACAAAACTTTTCTTAAACATTACCTGAATATATTGTCTCATACTATCAAATTAGAATTTATAATCCCTACTCCATGATGAGATATCTTTGAGCTATAATGTATCTTAATTAAAACTATCTTTAGATAGTTTTTTCTCAAAAAGCATTTTATCAAAAAAATCCGATTTAAATAAAAAAATCTGTTTTTAAATTATTTTTTTAAAAATCATTGACTTTTATCCACCGTCGGCCTGGCAGTGAAGAACTCACTCCTGTGTCTGCACATAGGCCATGTCCCCCAGTGCCTGCTCCGCAAGACCCATTCCCAACATGCCTGTCACACATGCTTCTACTGTAGTGTGTGTGTGTGTGTGTGTGTGTGTGTGTGTGTGTGTGTGTGTGTGTGTGTGTTGGGAGTGGGTGGTTAGTGCAGGTAACTCTGATTGTTCAGCCATTGAGCACAATTGGCTCCCATTCTGACACCCATCCACACGGCTACTTACTTCCCTGAGGCCTTGCTAAGCCCAGTAGATAGGAACGTCGCTGCAGAGGATGTTAATTGTAGTGCCCAGGATGGAGCGATCAGCCAGAGGCATAGGAAACCCTTTGTCCTCCTCCTCCTCCTCACCCTGCTCAGGTGTCGGGATGAGCGACTTGAGCTACAGCAGGAAATAATAAAAATTAAACACACACACCAAACACCCTGCACCCTTGTTTGCAGCAGGAATAGACACAGGCTATTGACCTTCTCATATATCTTCAATCCTTAATGGCAATACGATACACACACTAAGTTTTCTCCTAGTGCCCACTATATTTTCAGCACCTTCACTCCGCCTGTGAGGATGGATTCCACATCTGGAGGGCTTCCCACATGGCCACTGCTTCTGAAGCAACAAAAATTTCTAGCAGTGCTGCCCCGGCTGGTGATATACAGGCCAGCCTGTTTTAATAGGACATGGAATTATTTGAATATCAATATGGGAGGCTGTGGAGGCTAGTGATTATAGCAGATGATGAAAGATTCAGGACTCCTGGGTTCTGCTCCCACTTCTTGGAGGCTGTATGGTCTAATGGACTGGGAATCAGGACTCCTGGGTTCTCTTTTTGTCTCTGCCACTAACTCACTGTGTGCCCTGAGGCACTTAACTTATCAGTATTTCTCTTTGCCATCAACCCCCCTTAGGGCTCTGAGGGTCAATCAGTGTTAGCAAAGCCTTTCCATGCCCTCATACATCACATGCTTTATGAGAGCAAATCATTCTCACAAAAGCTGTTGAATGTAAAAGATCCAAATAGAGGAACAATTCAACTCCAGAGGCTACTGTGGAATCACACACCAGCAACTAGACATACACTAGCCCATTTTGCATGTGTAGCTGTTTTTGCTGGTCCAGCTGATGCATGTGCATAACTCCAGGTGTCCCTGACGCGCCATCCTTTGGAGGGTTTGATATTTGGAGTCTAAATAGCCTCTTATCTCTGTTATCCATGTACTATCTTCCACACACACACACACCCATTCTTCTGTTGGCCTCAGATTCAGCATTGCATGAGTGCCATTTCCCCCATGCATTCCTACACCTACCTCTATATCCAGCATGGTTCATACTGAGTGTGCATTCCTGGCTGCTCACCTGGAGATGCTGGTGGAATGCCTTCGCAGTGGTATCCAGGCCCTGAATGTTCTCCTTGTCCATCTTGGTGATGTAGCAGGCTCGGCCTTGCCAGGATTTGTAGCTGATCAGCAGCTGTTTGCAGACAGAGCACATGGTGATTTATAAGCCCTGGTTTCCCATCACTGCAGCTCCCCGTTATTCACCGGAGCTGAATCACCCTCTCCTACTGCACAGCCACTTCTGCTTCTGCAACATCACCCCGTTCCATCCCCCTCATGATGCTGAGTCCAGGAGCCTCCTAGACCCTTCATTGGCTTTCTTTTTGAGACTTAAAGCCATCTGATTGAGATGGGCCAGGGTCGGTGCCATCACTCCAAGCCCTATCCAAAGTGTGGGGTTGGATAGATAGGAGCTGGGCCCAAACCTCCTAGGGGATTGGTTTAGCAAGATGAAAATTGAGGCTTTGCAAATCCAAATCCACCTTCTTATTTTGCTTGTCTCCCCTGCACCCTCCTCCACCACCTTCCATCCCACATTGACCAATGAAGACAACACACCATCCTTCTCCCCTCATAGCCCCAACTCTAGCCCCATTCACTCCCTCTCTCACTTGGCTCTTCCTCTCTGGTCATGTTCCTTTTGTGGAGCTGGGTTTTCCGCATCTCTGGCAGCACCCATTTCCTCCCCTACCCACCAACCCTGCATCATGACAGACGAAGAGGAGACCAAGACAGGATTCCCGTGTGCCAACACGTGCTGCTCCTTGCTTGTCCAGAGTGCTGTCTGTTGAGCGACCCAAGGGCTTTCCTCCCAGGGACTGACTGCCCTGCTCCATTCAGGGGCGTGATGCCGCCCCACTGAGGCTGGAACCCCTTCTGATTTTGACTGGAGGGGCTGGCACCCAGCAGTGCCTAATAGCCTCTCAGAGTGCTTCTGTTCTAATGCAGCATCGCCACGTTTGTGCTCGGATGCCCAGGCCATGCATGGGTTAAAAACAGCCTCGCTCCCTGGACAGGAGGATTCAATACAGGATCCCGGCCTCATGGCCTGATGGCAAGGGTCCGTTCTGAAGCACACCCCCTGCCAAGCAAGCACTCCCTGCTTACATTACTGTAGTCGTACACCACCGTGCCTGGGTCATGGGTTCCTGCATCAATGTGGAAAGTCGCCACCTCTTCTTCCCAGTCCATGGAGAGCCGCAGTTGAGACTCTTCCCCTTCCAACCCCTCAATGGTCATTTGCAAAACCTAGGAGGAAATCATAGAGCCTAAAGAGTGAGCAGAAAGGAGAGCAGGGGGTGGGAAGATACGGAAGGGATGGGATCTCTATCATCTCTGCTATGGGTTCCCTGCATCAAAAAGCGGAACATTGTTCCATTCTAACCCATTTGAAACTCAGCCATTTCAAAGGGGCCAGGGACATTTTGCAGCTGCTTTTCATTTCTCTGTTGCTTCTAATAATCAACCCTGTTCCTTCCCTCAAGGCTGGCCAGGGCCCCAGAGTCTCTCGCAGAATGGGAAGGGTAAGTTTATTGGGAAGAGACTCTCAAGATTGATTTTGTTTCTCCTAAACGTTCTCCTGCTAACCCGACAGAACGAGGCCTCCCTATCTCTTCCCTGCTGTCCACACGTATTGTGATGCAGGGTAGACAGGATCTGTCCCAATGGGCCAGGATTTCAGTCAGCACTCTTGGAATTAAATGTGACTGCAACATCTTCCTCTGGCTTGGTCCTTGACTTTGCTCATTCATGGATGCAATCTGTCCCCTCTGTGCCAATTCTGTTTCCTCCAATGAATGACTGCCTGAGTCCCCTCTGCGCCCAATAGGACTTCATCTGCTCTCTCTGCACCCGTGCATGACTGCCCCAGTTTTGTTCTGCATCTCTGTGCATCTGTCCCCGCTTCCTCTGCCTATTGCTAGACTTGGGCATGGTGACAACGATCTCTTCTGCAGGGCTGCAGCTGTCCCTTGGGCACCTATGCAGGGCCGTACCCTTTGCACAAGTCCCCTTTGCACCTACACAAGGCTGCACTATGGTCAGCTGCATGGATCCCCATTGCATCTGTGCCTAGCTGCCGCTATCCCCTATTCATCTATAAACTGCTGCATTTGGGCATGATTTTAACACTTTCCTTTGCACCTGTGCACAGCCTCAACTGCTCCTTCTCCCCCTTACTTACAGACTCAGTGTGTTCCTGGGTCACGTGCAGTCCCAGCAGCAGGGCTCCCAGGACGACCACAACTATCAGCACAATGACCACCACGATGATTAGGATTCTCTTGATGTGCAGGGGGCAGCCAGGGAGCTTGGGCAGACGGCAGAGTAGCTTAGGGAGGCAGCAGAAGACACGTTTCCAGCAGCTGCAGCAGGACTTGCAGCCTGGGCAGCAGTTAGTGCAGCTGGGGCAGCTGGGGCAGCAGTCAGTGCAGCTGGGGCAGAGGTCCATCTCTGAATCCAGAGCATTGTAGTGCTGGGGACACAAGCAAACACAGAGAGAGGTCACTGCAGGAGGGACTGAAATGCAAAGCAAAAGGGAACAGGAGGAGGTGGAGAGGAAAGGGGTGTGAAGATGAGAGCGAGGGAAGGAGACAGGACTGGGGAGAGAGAGACAGAGAGAAATGAAATACAGGCACAGGATTTGAGCCTGGGACGGGCCACGGTTTTAAGTAGCATCTTCCATGCTTAAGAGTGTCTCCAAGTGCTTTTTAAAGTAGCGAGTTAGATCCCAGCACCGTGGCTGACTCTGTAAGCAAGATACCTCACTAATAGCTCCCATGCAGTCTCAGGCAATAGCCCCGGCTTTCTGGGGAGAAGCACTGGTTGAGTCAGCAGGGTCATACCCCCTCCTCTCTCTGGGGTTCACCATTTGATAGTTCTCACGCACCCTTAACAGCTGCCAGAGTGGTTACATTTCAGAAATGTGCGGTCGGTGACTCTCAGCCGGATCTGCATCCAGCTGAGCACGGCAGCTCAACAGGCATTGGGGGAACCAAGGAAGCAGGTGAAATGTCTTGTACATCATTATGGACAGGTGCAAGTACAGAGACACACCTGGAGACATGCATACACACATACAGAGACACACAGACACACAAGTTCACACGCCAACCCGCACCCTGCAAGCTGGGAGGAATAGAATCCGCCGCTGACTCATAACCGTAGCTGGGCACTAGAAACTATTGGAGCTGCAATGTATGAGCTACGGGGGATGTGGTAGCTTTTTCATGCCCTTTGCTAAAACCCAGCCTGGGGAGGAGGGGATGAGGCTGAGGCTTACCAGCGGGTCCTCAATCAGAGCCTCCTCGATGTTGATTTCCATCTTGCTGCTTCTCCTGTGCCACTTGGACGTCCTCTCAGTGTGTAGGGCAGAGAGAGACTTAAATAGGGGACCTGAGGTAAGAGCAAGTGAGGGGGGAAGGGATGCTGGAGTTCCCCAGCTTCTTCTGGCTACAAATCAAGTTTCTAATTCACTTCATTTTTGTTTGTGAACCTGTTTCCCTGGAGCCCTTCAGAGCTGGGTTTCTGATAACCTCCTGAGCCCGTGTCAGTCGAGAGTCTCCGAGGACACTTGTCTCTGGGCACATGGGCCTCTTAGCGCCCAAGAGCTGCAACCACAGGGGTTCTGAGGCCAAAGTCATCCAGCTCCGAGGGGCTAGTGCTGCCCTTCAGGCTGGAGTATCCGGCCCGTCGATATGGCCATGGCCAGGCTTGGCTCAGTGCCCCGAGTCTCTGAGCCCCTCTGGCACCTGATGGTGCTTCAGATGTTCAAAGCAAAAGCCGAAAATCAAAAGCCTTTCACGAGAGCACTAGTCGTGAGTGCCCAGGCCCTTATCGGAGTGTGGGCAGCCAGGGGCCTTTGGGGAAGGGCCTTGTGCAAAACTCCGTCATTTCCAACAAGTGTTTACACCACCACCTTGCCCAATCTCTCCAAGGCAGCGACTTCAGGAGAGATGGAAACTTCCTGGGGTTAACACTGCTGCATCCTTGTGCTACCAGGGCTGCAGTTTCCTGCTGTAGGCTAGGTGGGAGCATGGACACCTCAGGAGCTGGGAGGGGGTGAAGAAAGGAAGCTCTGAATGGAGTGAGACCTTTAGCAAGGGAAGCTTGCAGGGATGCACCTGCACAGAGATGTGGAGCATAGATACCTTGGAAAACTTGCCCCTGGGAAGAGGACCAGCGCAAGGTCCCACATATGCCCCTGCTGAAGTGGGACTTAGGTGATGCATAGTCATAAGTGCAGGGGACTGGACTAGATGACCTCTTGAGGTCCTTTCCAGTCCTATGATTCTATGATTGTGAAATTCACCCACTGAGTGAACTGATCTATGAGTCGTTAGAGGTCTGTGCTTAAGACATGCCAAACTCCTAGGGTGAAATCAAAACTCCCCTTAACTTCCTTGGGGCCAAGATTGTGACCCAGTTTTGTAAAGTTATGTAGGTGTTGCTGTGCAGTGCCTAACTGATTTAGCAGCCTAAATATCATGTTCAAAAGTGATTTAGGCACTTAGGAACCAAAATCCCATTGACTGTCAAGGGAATTTTGACTTCTAAATGCCTAAATTTCATTAGAAAATGAGATTCAGACTCCTAAATCAGGTAGATGTTGCAACCTTTAAAAATCTGAGCCTTCACCTTTAACTCCGGCTGGCCTACAGCCAACCCTGATCTCACATCTGGCCTTGACCTACCTGCTGTTCTAATCCAGTTATCTATCTATGAGTATCAATACTGCCATACATCACTGGTATCTGAGCGCCTTCCACATAAAATCAATAGCACTAGCGAAGTCCCTGGTTGATTTCATGGAGTCTCTAGCACTTCTTCCTTTTTTCAGAGTAAAAAACTGTTTGGGGAAGGGATTTTGTTTTTCAAAATTTTATCAATTGACTTTTGGGGTTTTGGGTTGATTTGTTCCAGGGTAGGATTTTTAGGTGGTAGTGTTTTATTGGGTAGAAGAGGGGGTCAGTGCTGGGGCTTGGGATCCGAGGGGGGTCAGAATTGGTGTTTTGGGGTAGAGGAGGTGGTCAGGTTTTGGATTTTAGGGTGTCTGTTGTTTGGTGAAGAGGCCTTTTCAAAGGGGAAGGTTTGGCAGCGTTTCCTACAGACGATCAGACTTTCTGGATTTGTTTGATTTGCTTTGGGACTTTGTGTCATAGTCATATCCCTTCGACAGAGAATGCTTTATCTCCAGCTCTCAAGGGCTTCGTCCTGGGCTTTGAGATCTGAATTGCCCCAGTGGAGCCCAGCTACCGTGGTGGTTCATAGATCAAAAATCAGTCATTGATGTAGCTGGGGCTTGAGCCATTCATTGTTTTTAAAATTAAGAGCAAGGCCTTAAACTGAGATTGGAAGCTGACTGGGACCAGTGGAGGGACTTGAACACAGGCCTGATGTGCTCACGGCAGCCTGAGCCAAAGAGAAGGGGGCAGCTGCATTCTGTGCTAGCTGGAACCTGTGCATCATGTTCACATTCAGATACATTGAGTTACAATGATCCAGCTGGGAAGGGATGAATTCAGAGATCACTGTGGACAGGTCCTCAGTGGGAGGAAGTTTCCTAGTGAGCTGGAGGAGAAAGGAAGGCATTGGTAGATACTCATGATACCCAATCTTCCAAGCTTAGCAAGGAGTCCAACAGTTCCAGGGGTCACATCTCTCTGATGAATGGAGCCTTCAATGGAAGGTGGAGACACTGCCTCGACCAGTTCTCCAAAGCGTTTCCCCTTTCTGACCAGCATCACTTTGGTCTCGCCTGGGCCCAGCTGCTCTTTATCTAAGAGCTGATCTCTTGCAGGCATTCCAACAGTTGGCCTTGAGCTTTCTCCTCTTCTTCCACTGTCCCTGAACCCACAGCTGCCAGCACAGACCTTGAGAAAGAAACGGTTGCACATTCCTCAACCCATAAGAGCCAGGAGCTCCCCAGCCTCCCTGCTCAAGGGCTTGGAGGAGCCTGCGGATTTGCTGTCTGACTCCTGACAGCCCTGGCTCTGGCTTCTGCAGACTGTGAGTGCCTGCCAACTGTCAATGGGAAGGTCTCTGCATTTTCCTTGCTCTGTGCAATGTGTTTTCTTAGTGATGTTTGAGGGAGGGAGGGAGAGAGAATCAAGTAGCTCTCAGGGCCATTTACCCTCAAACATTCTTTATCCTGGAGAGAGTCCTTAGAATCCTCATCCGCTCCATTTGCTGCATGAAGCCCATCCCAGACATTCTCTTCTCCCCACACCCGCCCCGCTCCTCAATTGCAGTGGGAACATATTCTTGATCTTCTGCCTCATTACGTCACCTGTGCGAAGGCTGATGTTGGGTAACAGGCAGACCAGGGACATCAAATAATGGAGCTGAGCCGGGGCTTGTTGACATCTCAATGGCTTGGCATTGCAACACACTGACACACGGGGGACTGGGGCTGGGATGCTGATTCCACTCGGCCCAGATCTCCCAGCACAGGCATCAACAAAGAGGATGGTGTCCTACTTCTCTGGCAGCTGAGTGAGTGATTCATAGATTCCCAGGCCGGAAGGGACCATTATGATAATCTAGTTGACCCACTGTATAACACAGGCCACAGAACGTCCGCAGAATTCCTAGATCAGATCTTTTAGGAAAACATCCCATCTCGATTTAAAAAGTGCCAGTGATGGAGAATCCATCACGACCCTGGGTAAATTGTTCCAATGGTTAGTTACTCTCACGGGTAAAACCGTACCCCTTATTTCCAGTCTGAATTTGTCTAGTTACAACTTCCAACCTGCTTCCTATTGCCAGGGGTCGAAGGGCCGTTTTCTGTTTTCCAGGTTTGTTTCACTTGGCACTGGCCAGTGAGCTCTTTTGTTTAACTGGCAGGTCATTGTCAGCCTAGCCAAGTGCGTTGTAAGAAATCCGGGGCTTAGACCCCTCTTCCTATAATGGTATCTGCCAATTTTAAGGGAAGTTGGCCCTGCCTGACAGTTTAACCCTACACTGCTGGTGTTCAATCTCGGTCTGTCTCCCTAAGATGTTACAGCAGCGAGTTTTAATTGATTTCAAAGTTTCAAGAAGGGTATCACATGAAAAATGTGCCTTTCTTGTTTCATCACTTGTTTCCTAAAGGAGATGGTACCACGCTGCAGTGTGGGATCTTAACTTTCCCAGAGCTCGGGGATGTTCAGATCCAAGGTTGTGCTTTAGGTTGGATAGCTAAGGGGAATCTCTGTCCCCTGCCAGTTGTTCTTGTGTTCCCTTTCCAGGGCTAGAGGGTGAGACCATTATACTGATACACAGATGAGCAGAGTCAGCACAATCCATCCACAATCGTGCTGTAGTAGTGTATGTGCACGCTGACAATGTGACACACACACACATACTGCTATGCATGCACACACTATAACACCCCATACATATATGCATGCCAGCACACTCACTTATGCACACCCACACCCACGTGCACAGACGCACATACTAACACACCTCTACAAACACGCAGACACAGAGTCCTGTGTGGAAACACACACATACACTGGGACATATGCGCTCAGCTACAGACACATATCACCAACACCCTCCTGTACAGATGCACACTGACATCCCTCCACCTCCTAGAGGGGTTGGAAAGCATGGTGAAGATGAATCATTTTAAACTGGATTCTGTAATGAATGGGGAACCGGTGGAGCTGTCTGCAGGGGAGGACATGGGTTCACCTGGCTGTGCTGTGAAGGCCTCAAGGACAAGCCACGAGCTAGGGAGAGCTTCCTGTGCATTGTGACCCATCCTGTTCACAACTCTCTCAGCTTGCTCAGTTTTTGTTTTGTGGTTGTGGCAGCTGCTGGGCCACCTGATGATCCCCATCTTCCCAACTCTGCAACCTGAGTGTCCAGTACCAGCACCAGGCCCCCTTGATGCTGCATAAAGAGTCTGATGCAACAGAGAGAGGCTAGAAGTACAATAACACAGGAGTCACCTGAGTGGATCTGTCCACAGGCCCGCCAAGGCCAGTGTCTTGTTTCTGACAGTGGCCAGTGGTGGATGCTACAGACGAAGCAACCCCTCCATAGGTCACCTGACCAAATTTGCAATTGTGTGTGTGTGTGTGTGTGTGTGTGTGTGTACACACATATTTGCATTTCTTCCTTCTCCCCTGCAGGAAGCTGATTAGCCCCTGCAGTATGAGATTATCTCACCCCTAATTGAAGATAACAGCAGGGCTGGGGGTTTCCATTTGTTTCATGGGGAACTGTGTGTCTAAATCCCAAAGGTAATGTTGCAAATCTCTGCCCGGGTTATTATTGATCATATAATCACCCAGCCTGTTTACAAATCCAGCTCCAGGATCGATGTAATAACCAGATGCGTTATCTGTGTCCCAGCTGCACTGAAATCTGCTGAGTGATCACACACGGCGAGGAACATTCAGCTTGTGCAGAGGGGCCAGCGCAAGGGCACTACTGATGTCCTACTTCAGCCTTTGTCGGAAGTGCACTGGCAGTCACTTGCCCACAGTCAGATAGCAGGTCAATAGCAGAGCTGGGAATAGAAGCCAGACCTCCTGACTCCCAGTCCAGTGTTCTATCCACTAGACATCACTGCCTCTCAACATGTGTGAATTTACCAACCTTTCAATCCTATTGGGTGAGCACCCGTTCACATGTTCTGGCCCTGGGTATAATCAAGGCCCTGAGCAGTTTTGATTTAATCAATACCATACGGCAGGATCCAGCAGAGAAAAGACAAATCTCTCTAAGAAGAGAATAAAGGAAGCAGCATGTTGGTTCTATGGAGATTTTACTCTTCAGACAGAAGCACAAACTCATATACAAAACTCTCGTTTTATTGCAAGCGCCACCTGAAAATTCCCAGCTGCTTTGTGTGGCAACAGAACAAAAGCTTTGCAATGGCTGGAGATCATGCAGCCACCCACCCGCCGGCCCACGGGCCGAGCTTAGGCCCAGCTGTGCGGTGATTGCACATGGAACGTCGTCATCATTGTAAGAGAGAAGCCCCAGCGCTGTGGATACAAGGGCGCCACGCCCATCTCACTGGGAAGTGACTGCAGGGATGCGGAGCTCAGACTGCACGGGGACCTGTAAGATAAATGGTGGAGCATGAGACGTTTGAGCTACAATAGCCGCAGCCCTAAGAAATCCATACAGAGAAAGCCACCTGTGGCCAGGTAACCTTGTTTGTTTTCCATCTCACTATTTATTATTTGCATTATGGTAGTGCCCAAGGTCCCAATAGAGCTCGGGTGCTGCATTGTGCTAGGTGCTATACATACACTTGCTGAGGTCTGTGCCCCAAAGAGCTCACAGTCTAAATGGATAGGACAGCCAGAAGAAGTGTCATTATCCCCCTTTCACAGATGGGAGAACTGAGGCAGAGAGAGAGAGAGTAAGGGCCAGATTTTTAAGGGATTTCAATGAGAGTTAGAGGCTTAAACATCTTTAAAAACCTGGTCCCATGTGACTTGTCAAGGGTCACACAGGAGATCTATGGCAGAGCAGGAAAGTGACCCCAGCTCTCCTGAGTTCCAACCCAGTGCCTGAACCCCAAAGCTACCCTTTGGCTTTTGTTATATTTTATACACCTCCCAACCCAGGCTGCAGAGCAAGTGCTTCCCAGCCAAGGCTGCGAGTGAAAGGGCCAAGAGGAGGCCATCCCCCACGTGCACACACAATCCCTTGGGTTCTCAAGCCTGATTCCACCCGTGCCACGTAAAACTCTGCAGCGATGCTGCTAACGAATCAATGAGAGGCTGCAATGGCCTCCTGCTGACTGTTGCATTCTGGTTTCTCTGCGCAGAGCGGGTGGAAGTCTTGTCTTTTTACCAGCCGGATGGAGACATTTCTTCTGCATCCTGCTTGTCCGGAGCCTGGTGGTTGGGAAGGGATTTGATTGGTCTCTGGCAAAGGGCGAGCTTGTTGCTTTTGCAACTCTGTGTGCGTGGCGGGGGCGGGTGGGGGGGGGATCCTCTGGCAAAGGGCTTTTGCAACTGTGTGTGTGAGAATGTGTGTGTGAGTTGCTGTAGGCAGTTCTGATTGTTCAGTCACTGAGTAAACCCAGCTCCCCTTCCAATACCCAGCTGCTCTGCTGCTCACCCACCTGAGCCCTTGCTAAGCCCAGTAGATGGGAACGTTGCTGCAGAGGATGTTAATTGTAGTGCCCAGAATGGAGCGATTGGCCTGGGGCACAGGGAACCCCACCTCCTCCATCTCTTCACCCTGTTCGAGCTAGGACAGGAAATAATAGAATTAGATATGCACCACCCCCACACATAGGGTGACCAGATGTCCTGACTTTATAGGGACAGTCCTGATATTCGGTGCTTTTTCTTATATAGATGCCTATTACCCCCCACCCTTATCCCGATTTTTCACACTTGCTATTTGGTCACCCTACTCACACACCATTACAGGAACTATAATTTATAGCCCGGGCTGGGGGCCTAGGAGTTTACAATCTTTGGACACCATCAGGTGCTAATCGTAACTGTATGTGCTCACGTCATCGTTTTTTTCCTGCTCTGGAAACTAAGCTCTCAGTGCTTCAGAATAGCTGTGGGAGCATCCTGTGCTGTATGAGGACGTCCAACCCACCCACCACTACTCTCCTGCACTAGCAATGCTCTCCTTGCCCAAATATTAGATTATCCTACCTTGCCAATACATTGATCGAGATGGTACAAGAGAGGCAGTGTCTTCTAGCAGCGAGAGCGTGGGGGTTTGGGGTGAGGACTCCTGGGTTCTGTGCCCAGTTCTGCCACTGCCTAGGCAGGCGACTTTGGGGAGGTCACCTTCTCTTCCTGTGCCTCCACTGTACCCCGAGTAAAAGGAGTACACTGCTGACTTGCGCTGCACCTCACTCTGTGTGCATGTGATTCAATTACCAGTCACAAAGCCTTTGGAGAGCCTTCGCTGAAAGCCATTTGATAAGGGCAGTTCATTCTTTACACCCCCTTGTGGTTGTATGCATTGAATACTGTGCTTGAGACATGGAGCGATTGCTCCTGTTCTGGCCTGAGCCCATTTTCCCCAGGATGGGGAGGTGGTGATCCTGCAAATGCCCACTGTGGAGAATTAACAATGCACACAGTGGCACACAGTAACTGTAGCCTCTACCTGCTCTGTGCAGGCTAATACTTACCGGTTGCTTTGTTTATAAGTTTGGCTCTGAGACCCAAATTCAGGCCTCACAAAGGAGGGTGCAGCACCTACTGACTTCAGTGGGAGCTCAAACTGCGTACACCCAGGCTGGTGCACTCTGACTGCAGCCAGCTGTCTCCCAGGGACTCAGAGAGCAGCCTCAAGCCTCTGCAGTGTTTTAATCTTTCACAAGTTTCTCAATCCCAAGTGCCCTTTCTCCCGGCACTCCTGTGCCCGCCTCTGTACCCGGCACGGCTCACACTGAGTGTGCATTCCGAGCTGCTCACCTGGAGATGCTGGAACACCTTGGCAATGGTATCCAGGCCCTGAATGTTCTCCTTGTCCATCTTGGTGATGTAGCAGGCTCGGCCTTGCCAGGATTTGTAGCAGATCAGCAGCTGTTTGACAGAGCACAGGGTGACTTTTAGCCTGGCTTCCCATCCTGGCAGCTCCCCAGGTTGTATTCACTGGAGCCGAATCACCCTCTCAAACTGCACAGCCCCTTCTTTTCCACCATTGTCACCCCCTCTCCATCCTCCTCTTGTCTGCTGAACATGGTGCTCAGCCCCGGAGCCTCCTATACCCCCCACGGCCTTTCCCTTTGAGACTGTAAAGCCATCAGCTCGAGATGGGCCAGGATTGGTGCCGTGTCTGCAAGCGCTCTCCAAAATGTGGGGGTTGTGTAGATAGGAACTGGATCCAAACCTCCTTGGGCTTGGTTTTGCAAGATCAAAACACTGGCTTTGCAAACTCAAACCCACCTTTTTATTTTGCTTGTCTCCCCTGCACCCTCCCCCACCACCTTCCCTCTCACATTGACCAATGAGGACAGTGCCCATCCATCTCCCTTCACTGCTTAGTCACTCACTTTTTATTGCTTGCATTAACACTTGAGTGTTTTTCTCTCTCTTTATTTCCCCTGGGACCTACTTTTCTTTGCTTACTAGCAGCCAGGAAGTGATGTCAGAGTGTGGTCAGTTCACAGCCAGGTGTGACATCTGCATAATGCTGGGCCCAAGCCACACAATCCAGGTCTGAGGGTGGGATTTTGAACACCCCAAATCTTGGGTGTATTCAGATCTGGGGTTTTGGTTCGAGCTTGTCTCTAGGGTACATACACTGGCTTGGCTCAGCCTGCATCTGCGACAGTTATATGGGCCAGGCTGAAATCACTGGCTCCTCTACCTCTAATCAAGAAAGTGGTAGAGACTCCAGGGATTCTAACCTGCTCTAGTCGGACCGGCCAGGTCTCACCCAGTCTGAGCTATGGGTATAGCAATGAATGTTCCCTGTAGCTCCAGACAGCTTTGCCTAGGTGGCCCCCTGTTTGGAAGAGGCTCCCCCGAGCCTAGTGAAACGAGCGTGCCCTACTTACGTGGTGGTAGTCGTACACGACAGTGGCTGAAGAATTGATCCCTGCCTTGATGTGGAAAGTCCCTGTCCTTTCTTTCCCACTCATGGAGAGCTGCTGCAGGGACCCTTCCCCATCCAGGCCCTGGATAGTCATTCGCAAAACCTAGAAGGCAAGGAAAGCCACAGAGTGAGGCGTGCCCAGTGCGGGGGGCTGGGTGGGTCAAAGCAGAAGATGTGATGCATCAACCATTCATTGCCTATACCCTGAAGAAGTGCCCTCTTTCCCAGCAGCACTCCCTTCGTCCCTGCTGACTCAGTGCAGGCAGAGACATTAGTAAATCAGAACCCCGGGCTGCAGTAGCTTCCCGTTTCAAGGTACCCACTGAAACTTTGCTGAAGTCTTTCGCTTCTTTGCTGGCCCTGATAATAGAGCACTATTCCTCTAGTGTCCCAGTCTCCTCTGCAGCTGTCTGTGGTTCCAGCTGTCCTCTGTGCTTGTCCACAGCTCCACTTGTTCCTGCTGCCCTTGTGTACTGGAGCAGCCTCTTTACCTGGCTGTTCCTGCCTCTTAGCACTGGTGCACAGGTGCATTTCCCCGTCTTCTTGAGTTCCCTTTGCAGCTGGGTGTGGCTGCACCAGCCCCATGCTGTAGCAGCCCACTTTGCCTGGCTGCATCTGCTTCCCTGTGCTCCTGGGCATGGCTGCCGCAGCCTCAACATGCCCCTGTCCCCTCTGCACTGGCACACGGCTGGACTTGCCCCTCTGAACCACTGCCCCTGGGTTTTTAACGCTGTACTTACCGTTTCCGTGTGCTTCTCGGATATGTGCAGTCCCATCAGGAGGAAACCCAGCACAACCAAGACTATGATCACAACCACCACCATGATGATCAAGAGTCTCTTGAGGTGAGGGGAGAGGCAGGGGATCCTGGGGACGGGAGTGTAGTCCTGTGGGAACAGAAAAGAACAGTAACAGCAAGAAGAGCTGATGTGGGTATGCTGGAGGGACAGGACCCCCCGTCCCTTTATTATATGTATTCCTGTAGCACTGAGGAGCCCCAGTCATGGCCCAGGACCCTATTGTGCTAGGTGCTGTACAAACACAGAACAGAAATATCTATTCTCTGTTCATTGCCATACCGGAGGGGCCTCTATCAGAGCCTCCTTGCTGCTAACATCCATCTTGTTTCTTGTTCTGCAGACCCTGGCTGTCCCTGTAGTGCTTCTCCAGCGATAAAACAGCCCCTGGAGGCTCCGTGGCTGGAGAGGGGCTTATATAGGGGACTCTGAGATAGTGGAGGGGCGGAGAGCAAGGGGAGGGTATGCTGGAGTTCCCCAGGCCCTTCTGGCCACAAGCCAAGTGCTCACTTCATTTTTGTTTGTGAACCTGTTTCCCTGGAGCCCTTCAGAGCCGGGTTTCTGATAAGCCCCTGGGCCCGTGTCAGTCGAGAGTCTCCGAGGACACTTGTCTCTGGGCACATGGGCCTCTTAGCACCCAAGAGCTGCAGCCACAGGGGTTCTGAGGCCAAAGTCATCCAGCTCCGAGGGGCTAGTGCTGCCCTTCAGGCTGGAGTATCTGGCCCGTCGATATGGCCATGGCCAGGCTTGGCTCAGTGCCCCGAGTCTCTGAGCCCCTCTGGCACCTGATGGTGCTTCAAATGTTCAAAGCAAAAGCCGAAAATCAAAAGCCTTTCACAAGAGCACTAGTCGTGAGTGCCCGGGCCCTTATCGGAGTGTGGGCTGCCGGGGGCCTTTGGGGAGGGGCCGTGGGTCAGTCACATTCTGTCCAATGTGCTGAACGGGTCATGGAGTCTGATCCCTCAAACACTGGAGTGTTCCCTCTCGGTGTCTCATCCCAACGTTGTTGCTTCCACATGTTGCAATTAGAGACAGACCCGAACCAAAGCTCTGAGCCACCCTCTCTCTTGACACTGAGGGCTTCAAAATCTGGTCTCAAACCTGGATCTAAATAATTGCAGCTGTGGACAGCCTCTGGGGTAAGGGACTTTATACTAATAGGGGTGAGACCTTTGACAGGGGAAGTTTGCAGGGCTGCAGCTGGGCAGAGATGAGCTGATTTCTACAGCTCACTGAATGAATGCAGGCACTTCCTAACACACCAGCTGGTCCCCAGTGAATTTTGACCTCTCTGCTGTTTGACAGCTAACCTCTGACCCTGCTCCAGGCTGATCTGACCTTACAGTTGTTCTGCAGTTAACCATGGCCTGACAGCTGCTCAGCCTGACCCTGTCTGCAGCTGATTGCATAGGCCTAGTGACAGAACATAAAAGGACTGGCAATGGTACCCAGCTATTAGGTCCCCAGCTTCCGCGCCTGAGGCCTCGGAGCCTGTGCAGAATGGAGGTTGCTCCTTTGTGCTGGTTTTGCACTGGGGGTGCTGGCCCAGCCCTCAGCAGGAAGAGCTCTCCTTGTATTTTTCTTACCCTCAGGCTGTCAGGTGCACCTTGAGCATCAGGACTGCCCCCAGCTTCCTGCCTTGCTTCCTGGAGAAAGTACAGATGGAGCAATGATGAACCCTGTGCACTGAGGCCCCTTCCAGTGAAGGGGAGCTAGGCTGCCATAATGTGTCCTGCCCCAGTTCCACCCATCCCTTCACTCCATTGCTTCTGGCCATGTCCCTCCCTTTGCTGTCTCCCCTCTCCTGCCCCATGGGAGCTCAGTGACAACCCCAGGACTTGTCTATCACTTCTCCCCCTGCTCTGCCTCTGCTGGGCCCTGGGACCCTTGTTTGTTTGTTGTCAGTGTCCTGGCCTCAGGCCCAGCTGCGGAGAGTAAGAATGCCCTCTATAGAGCCATCCCCTCTCATTGTTAGCCAGGAGAAGGCTGTGCCTGGGACGGAAGCCACTGTTTGGCGTGTGCCTCACGAGTCACTCAGCTCATCATAAATTATCCAGGAGCAGCTCAGCAAGGACGTGTCAGACGGGAGGGGGTTGGGGAGCGTACGGGGTGATGGTGGCAGTGGTGGCAGGGGTTGATGGGGGAGGGAATCGGGGGCATAGGTAGAATGCTGCAAACCCAGGGGCACAGGGCAGAGAGATCGGAAGGAAATGAGCAGGCAGGGAGGGCAAAGCCATGGCCCCCCACTTCAGGTGGGAGGATGCTGCTTCAGGTGAAGGCCTCTGTACTACTGGTGAACGGGAATGAGTGTGATGGGGAGGGTGAGTCAGCGAGGGCCAGAGGCCAGTGGAAGAGTCTGTGCTTTAACTGCCCTAACTCTGGCAGTTCTCTGGATACACACAAGAGCACTCAGGTGCACACACTTCCATGTGCACACCTGTTCACCCACTCAAGTACACCGACCCACATGTACATAGTCACACACTCATGCATGCATGTGCACCCCATGTTCACACACACATATAAACAAACACACAAATGCACATAGAACATACACAACCCAGGTGCACACAGGCTCATGCAGTCACAGAAGCGCACACAGACTCTCGGGTACATAAGAGCCCAGTCAGAGCCGTTCACAACCCATACATGCTCCATTGTGCACAGACCCGTACATACAAAGTACACACACAGTCATATATTTGTATACACACCACATTTGCATGCACACTACAAACATTCACATTACATTCTTGCACATGTATTTTCAGATTCACATGCACACACAGAGAGACACACATATGTATTCAAACACGCCTGCAGAATTCATACCTAGAGAGAGACACACATACACAGTTACATGCAGTACATACAGACACTCATGCCTGCAAACACACTAGTGCATGCAGTATGCACACACACACATGCTATTGCACGCGGCACACTCCCCATGCACCACAGAGATCCCCAGCCGTGATATCACTTAGACGAATCATTCAGCAGCAAAGCACTCCTGCTTCCCCCACCCCAGCAGTTGAGTGTGGTGCTCTGCAGAGAAGCATGATGGACTGTGGCATCCTCACTCCCAGGATTGCTTCAGCTCTTCACTGCAGCTCCTGGGCTTGAGAGCAAAGCCAGGAGAGGAGGGAGGATTACAGAGCAGAGCTGAAGCAACAGTCCACGGGGGGATTCTTCTCCTGCAGGGGAGGGAGGCCAGGCCAAGGCGATGGCTGAGCTGCAGCCAGGGAAAGTGATGAGGAGGGGGCAAGTCCTTGCCTTCCTCTTGATCAGCCTGGCCTACCTCTGGCTGCCTGCAGGCTCCAAGCGAGCCCCCAAGCTGCCCCCATGTCCCCAGAGCTGCTCCTGCACCAGGGACACTGCCTTCTGCATCGACTCCAAAGCGGTCCCCAGGAACCTGCCCCCGGAGGTCATTTCCCTGTGAGTATCAGCAGAGCAGGAGGGAGTGGGTGGAGGGGGGATCACTGGGATAAAGGATGGGGTATAGTGGGGGAGGTAGGTGGGCTGGGGGAATCTTTGGGGTTGTGGTTGAGGGAGATGGAGGTGGGGAATCCGTGGGGTTGATCGAACTTTGGACTAAAAGGCTGAGGGCCCTTGATGCTGTTGGAGGGTTCCCAGAAGTCAGCATATTCCTTGGGGTTACATCAGAACGGGGTTGTTGTGGGTTCGAGATGGTGTGTGTGTGAATCCTTGGGGTATATGTGTGCACAAATGTATGATGTGTGTTTAATAATAGCCCTCTGTGTGCGTGCAGGTTCTCGTGTATGTATACTGTAGCTGCTTTTTGATATGAGAAAATCATGTGTGTGTCATGTAAACATGTCAGCATGACCATGCTGGGTATCTATACCTCTTGGGTGTATTTTTCTTTCTGATCATTTTATGTGTCTGGGTGTGCATCAGTGTAAGCATGTGCATGGCTGCGTGAGCATGTTGTTGATCAGGTGGGGGGGGGTGCGCATACATGCGATGCATGTGTGTGGTGTGCAAATGCATTATGTTTATAAATGAGCAGGTTTGTGTATAGAAGTTTGTGTCTGTGTGTGTGTGAATGAAAGTGAGGTGTATGAAAAGTAGTGTGTGTTGGTGCAAGTGCAGTAAGCATGTGTGTGTGTGCGGGGAGAGAGCTACACGAACACTCTTTCAGCCATGTGTTGCCACCTCCTGGGTAGCTCCTCAGCACAGAAATAGGCAGCCCTTTCCTTCCACTGTTTTAGTCACAGCTGATCCAGACCTAGCAATAGGTCCTGACTGCCCCCTTCGGTGTGGCACCATGCCACCTCTCATTGACCTCGAAGGGCTCCTGACTCTGCCTGCGGGTCCCTCCTGGCCTGGCTGGGGTGAGAGCAGGGAAGGAAAAGAAATGGTTTAATCTAATCTCATGCGCCTGTCACTGCTATATCTCCGCAGCGACATACTGGAACTGACCCTTTGTAGATTGCCATGGTGGTGTGGGGGAAGTGTGTGCGTGTGCTTGGTAGGTGTGTGTGTCTGGTGCCCCTGTATCTTTTGTCTGGGGTGTGCATCTGCTGTGTGGCGTTTGCGTGTGTGTGTATGTGTCTGATGTTAGAGTGTGTGCATGTGAGAGAGAGAGTCCCTTTTTGTCTGCTGTGTGTGTGCACTGCATGCTCCCCCTGGCTATGTCCCTGCTGGAGCCTGAGAAATTCCATAGGAACACGGGAGCTGCCAGACTGGATCAGACCCGAGGGCCATCTAGCCCAGTGTCCTGTCTCTGAGAGCGGCCAGCACCAGCACAATAGCAGATGGGAGATAATCTGCCCCCCACCCCTGCATAACTCCCATCCTGATCGCTAATAGAGGTTGTCTGAAGCCCTGAAGCATACCCCATTTCTGCCCATCCTAGGTCCCTTGTCCTTGGCTTGGCCCCCTCAAGCCCTAGAGCCCAGGGTGGGACGCCTGCTGACCTCATTCTTTCATTGTCTGCAGGAGCACTCTTCCTTCCTGCACACGCTGGCTCTGCTGCAGTCCATCCCCCTCACCAGGGTGCTGGGGAGTGGGAGAATGGGATGATGCAAATGAGGAGCACCTGCTCCATGCTGTGGGTCCTGCATTGCATTAGCCATTCCTCCCCCCCCCACACACACACTCAGCATCACTGCCTCCGTTGGCTTATTTCCAATCAGACTGCACTGGCTGGACCTGTCCCAGGCAGACCAGCTCTCTGCAGTGGGAGGCAGGCAGGCTCCCTTTAAACACGCATGGCCCTATTGACTGGACCTGCGGGACTACCCTGGACCTACAGGCTGTAATTACAGCAAAAAAGAGAGCTCTTTAAATATACCTCCTCCACCTGGGGAGCAGAGGGCAGATATAAACTTCCCCCTGGAAAGGCTGTACCTGGATCCAAGAGCAATAACTGGAACACGCCAAGCTAGGACTAGGATAACAGGAGACTGCAGATCAGGATTGAGGGGTGTCAGCAGAGCTGTGGCAGGCCCTGGGGCTGGCAGAGCAGGGGGACTGTGGGCCAGCATTGAGGGGCATTGGCAGAGCAAAAACACGAGAGGCAGAGATGCTTACACAGCACATACCAGTTGAACCAGGCAGGAAATGCTTGTCCTCACGTGCAAGGATTTTCAAGATTTCTACATTTTTCCCATTCTGAATCAGGACCAAAAGTTGAAATCTTGAAAATATTTGCAAACCAAAGATCAGTAGAAAATTTCAAATTGAGTCCGGGAAAACGCATCATTTCAATTTCGACCTTTTAAAAAAAACTTTTCCTTTACCGTGCACTAAAATTTTGAAACTGAAAAACATGTTGACCTGAAAAATAAACATTTTTTTTATTTGGAAAATGTCCAAAAAGGGGAGCCCTCAGCAATTTAAAATGTGGTTTCAAGTTTGTTCGGAAACGGGGAAACCCGTAGAAACCAACCATCCTTCCCTGAGGGCAGCTTTGGTTTCTGTGAACGGGTATTTCCCCACAAAAACAAATTTAGCTGAAAAGTCCCTGACGGGCTCTGCACACTGCTGTCTGCCTCCCTCCAGCCCACACTATCCTGCTGTCACTTCTCTGAGTGCTGAACTCCCCATCCTCCTGGAATGGTCCTGAGCTTTTCTCTCCCCGTTTCCTTCTCCGCAGGACCATGGTGAACGCGGCCTTTACTGAAATCAAAGCAGCAGCTTTCGCTCACATCCCCCTCCTGCAGTTCCTGTACGTCTCTGGGTCTCTCATTGGGATGGGGGCTTGTTATTGCCACGGCAGTCCCCAGGGAGGGGGACACAGGTCTTCCCATACCCTGTGAGGCAACAAGGGCTGGTAAAGGCTCGGTAGAGTCTCCTTAGGGAGGCCTTGGAGCTGTAAGGTTTGATCTCCCGCAAAGCTGGACCTGCCTGATCTAGGTGGCTGAATGGTGAGGTCATGGGAGATACAGATGGGCAGAGAAAACCTCCCCTCTATCCCTCTCTCTGGGACAAACCACAGGCACGAGGGAGGACTCTGCTCCCCCACCATCCTACATGGAGGCACTACAGCCCTGTGCAATGGGAAGGCCTCCCCCACTCCATGGAACCTTCCCTTGCCTGGGCATCAGGGGTTAACCTCTGGCCACGGCTGAGCTGCAGCAGGTAGTATTTGCACTCAGAGCCTGCATCCAGATCTCTGCCTTCTCGGTGCACCCCCGGCAGTGGGAAGGGGTTCCCGTCTCTCTGATTCTCAGCCTAGCACCCCCAATGCAGCCCAGCTGTGCTGGAGATGGCAGCCCCTGGAGCTGATGTCTCACCTTTCTCTTTGCAGCTTACTGAACTCCAACAAGTTTACGCTGATCGGGGACGATGCCTTCACCGGCCTCTCCCACCTGCAGTACCTGTACGTGCGCCTCTCCTTCACACCAGGGTCGGCTGGAGGGAGGGGATGGTGGGAAATGGGAGGAGAAGGTCTTTCAGGGGGTGGGGGTTGCAGGGAAGGTGCCACCTCTGGTTAGGGTTGGGGGGGTAGCGGCATCCCACCCTATGAATGCTCTTCTCCCATCTGAAGGGGCCACCCCAGGAGAGAGGGGAGCTCAGTCCCTGGGGCTGCTTGGCAGCACCACCTCTCAGGGAGCAGAGGGCGTGACCTGTGTCCCCATTTGTCCCCGCAGGTTCATTGAGAACAATGACATCCGCTCGCTGTCGAAATTCACCTTCCGAGGACTGAAGTCCTTGACACACCTGTGAGTATGACCCGTGCTGGTGGGCATGGCACGCTTGGCATGGGCCTGTGGGCAGAGTGCACCTAGCACGCCCTGTGGGCATGCCATACCTCACAGCACTTGTGAGTATAGCACACCTCTCACATGCCTGTGGGTATAATGTGCGCCACAGAGCTTGTGGGTATAATACGCCTGACATGCCAGGCACGTGCAGGAGACGTGGGGTGGGGGTTGCCACTGTGGACACAGGGCTGGCTTCCGGTCCAGGCCTTCTGCCCAGCGTCCATTCGAAAGGAGGTGCCACTTTTCCTGGCAATAAGTCTCTGTCTGTCTGTCTGTCTCTCTCTCTCTCTCTCTCCCCTCTCTTTCAGCTCTTTGGCCAACAACAACCTGCAGACGCTGCCCAGAGATATCTTCACACCCCTGGACATCCTCAGTGACCTGTAAGGCCCTGCCCAGGCCTGCTGCCACCATTAGGGACCTGTTATTGAGGGAGACACTGTCCCATGCTGTGTAGAGCCAACGAGCAGGATATCAGAGCCCAGGAACCTTGATCCCGGGCTGGGCCAAGGTCCTTGCAGCCGCCCAACTGCCTCCCCATTCTCCTGCTTACCCCAGAGCCTTCACCCCACCCCTCCTGGCCTGCAGATCCAGCGCCCAGCTCCCTAGCCTTCTCTTTGGGGTGGAGGATGTCAATATCCACATGCACCTTAGGGCTCTGTGGGTTCAGAATACAGGAGGGAGAACAGAGGGATGGGTCTCTTTAATGAGACACAAGGGACTAAATGTGCTCCCCACCCACACACCAGGGTTGAGACTAGCTTCCCCCAGAGCTGGAACCATTTCCTTCTCCAGGCCCAGACCGTGGGGACATGCTTTGGGGTTCCCGGCCTTGTCTGTAGCTGTGGGGTGATGGAGGGGCAATAGTGGGGTTTCATTGCTCATGTGACCAATGCTCTATTGTAAACCCTTCCCTCCACAGGGACCTCCGGGGCAACGCTTTGATCTGCGACTGCAAAATCAAGTGGCTGGTGGAATGGATGGAGAGGACCAATGCAACGGTGCCTGCCATCTTCTGCAGCAGCCCCATCCGCTACCAGGGGCAGAAGATCCGGGACCTGGCCCTCAAGGACTTCAGCTGCATCACGACAGGTAGGACTGGCTGCTGGCTCTCACTGCTTCACTAGGCACGACTCGTGCTCGTTTAGCAGGCTGGGGCTGGAGGCAGGAGAGAGTGGATACGGGGCCACTTTCCATGGGCGTGGTTGAAAAGCAAAGCCGTTGGACATGCTGCCACGGCCAGGGAGCAGTGGGCTGGGTGGTGTGACGGGGGTCCCCACTGCTGCCTCATCTTCACCCCTTCCCTCCCAGACTTTGTGGTGCACCAGGTCCTGCCATTCCAGTCAGTGTCAGCTGAGCCCTTTGTCTACAGCAGCGACCTCTATGTAGCACTGGCACAGCCCAGTGCCAGCAGCTGCACCATCCTCAAGTGGGACTATGTGGAGCGCAAGCTATGGGACTTTGACCGCATCCCTGGTAAGAACCAGCCGTGCAGACAGACATCCTGCCATGGCCCTGTACTTCCCTGGAGGAGTGGGGCCAGAGATGGGAGACAGCAAGTCCCATAATAGCGAGCACGAGGAGAAACAGCAAGATCCTATCATCAGGGGTTCATGATCACTTGCAATCAGTCTCTCATTGCATGAGCCACGAAGAGGCACATGGCAGGGGGATAGGAAGAGGGCATGTTAGCCTCCCTGGCGTGGTTCAGGGTGGGCTCCTGGGAAGCTGTGAGCTACCCATGGGGTTTATGGTGCAGAGCTTAGGGGCAGAAACACCTGGCAGTGCTGGGTGGTTCTTCCCACTCCCTTTGGGCAGAGGCAGGGAGTGCGGATTGCAGGAGCTGTCACCGCAAAGCAACCTGGAGCCCCCTTCAGATTCAAGGCCAACAACAGGGTGCGTGCATGCGTCTATGGGAGAGTTTCCAAGTGTTTGTGTGTACATGTGAAAGTGCCGCTGTGTGTGTATATGTGAGAGGTTATAGAATCATAGAACTGTATGACTGGAAGGGACCTCGGTAGGTCATCTAGTTCATATCCTTGCACTGAGACAGGTCCAAGTAAACCTAGATCATCCCTGACAGGTGTTTGTCCAACTTGTTCTTAAAATCCTCCAGTGAGGGGGATTCCACCACCTCCCTGGGAAGCCTAGTCTAAGGAAGGGTTTGGATTTTCCATCACTATGCAGGTGTGTGCAGAAGTGTGTGGTATGTGTGTCTGCAAGCAGGTATGCTAACGCTGCTCACCTGGGACACTCTCCTCCACTAGCTACTGGAAACTGCTCCAGAGCTATTCACTTGGACGTCATCCTTCCAGATGGGCACCGAAATCCAGTCCGGGTTCTTCTCCTCTCCCCGCGCGCCAGGAAGCGCATGTGTCTGTGACAGACACAGGTGAAAAGCTCTTCAGTCCTGACAGGGAGAGGGAACCCTCAGCCTAATTTACTTTGGGTATGAAGAGCGGGAACTGGATTTCTCTGCTCACCTGGCATGGGCTCCGGGTGCATCACCGGGAGGACGAGAATCTGGGCTGGATCTCTGTGGCCACCCAGAATGGCTCTGGGTGCAGACTATGTCTGATGCATGCACAGTGTGCACTGGAGCAGGGGGCCGGGGGCCTGCCCTGCTGACTCTGCCTTTTGCCCCCTTGCAGCTCATTCAGCCGTGTACTGCAAGCCCATCGTGGCCCAGTCACAGCTCTATGTGGTGGTGGCACAGCTCTTCGGTGGCTCCTACATCTACCGCTGGGACACCAACGTGGACAAATTCATCAAGATCCAGGACATGGACAGCAGGAAGATCCGCAAGCCCAATGACATCGAGGCCTTCCGGATTGACGGCGACTGGTACTTCGTCATCGCCGACAGCTCCAAGGCCGGCTCCACCAGCCTCTACCGCTGGAACCAGAATGGCTTCTACTCCCACCAGGCCCTGCACCCCTGGCACCGCGACACTGACGTGGAATATGTGGAGAACGAAGGCAAGCCCCGGCTCATCATCTCCAGCAGCTCCCAGGCCCCCATCATCTACCAGTGGAGCCGTGCCCAGAAGCAGTTTGTGCAGCAGGGGGAGGTGGCTGAGGTGATGGACGTGCAGATGGTCAAGCACTTCAAGTTCAAGAAAGACAATTACCTGTGCCTCAGCCGCTACATCGGGGACTCCAAGGTGGTCAAGTGGGAAGGGCAGCGCTTCACTGAGCTGCAGACCCTGCCCTCGCGGGGCTCCATGGTCATGCAGCCCTTCCTGGTGTCCCAGCGCCAGTACATGGCACTGGGCAGCGACTTCTCCTTCACCCACATTTACCTCTGGGATGAGGAGAAGCAGAAGTTTGTCAAGTTCCAGGAACTCTCCGTCCAAGCCCCCCGGGCCTTCCACTATGTCCCCTTGGAGGACATGGACATCCTGCTGGCCCCCAGCTTCAAGAGCAGCACGCTGGTCTACAGGCACGTTGTGGTGGACCTCAGCTTGTAAGGGGTGTCCCTGCCGCCTGCCCAGCTCCCTGCCTCACGCCTAGACACTGTGCAGAGAAAATGTTCTTCCACTTGCAACACCCCTAGAGCCGGGGACTCCAGCGCACTGCCTCTCCTCAGGCTAAAGCTTCCTGTCTGTGCCCATGCGCTGCCCCACGGCCATATCCATGGACAGGTCCAGAACACACACATACTCACACAGGCCCGTCAGTCCATGCATACCCAGCACACATTCCATCCATGCACTCGTATGCAGGAGTGTGTACTCACCACAGTCATCCCTCCATAGATAAACTCATACGCATATGCACATGCCCTCCAGCATCTCATACACATTACATTCCTGCCCATATGTCTCCAGCACGCGTACACTCCAACACTCCCATGTACACCCCTTTGCAGTCTCCTAGCCATACCATATGCATCTACACTCACTCTTTACATGTCCATGCAGTCCCTGTGCACCCCATTAACAAACACACATTCCTGCACCCCTTAACCTCACGTCCATCTCCTCGCATAGAGCCTTATATTCATGCCCATGTACTGCCGTTCATGGACAGCCACATCCATGTACAATCTCAGATCCATGCCTGTACACATCCATTCTCACTACTGCACCTTCCACGCACACACAGCTACTCCTATCGGTGAACCCAGATACAGTGCATTGGCAGTGCACCATGCCATGCTGCATCTCCCACCCACCGACACACATGCATACATCCCTGTATCCGTCACCCTGAACCCTCCCTGCAGCCCCCTCTGCACACATGCTCCTGTCCCCATACACAGCGCCGGGTAGCAGGCCTGGAAGAAGCCCTTGTCATGACTTCTCCCGAACTCTTCCGGCAGCTTCTGCCGCACTTCCTGTAGCCATCATCCATGTTCAGATTGTAGAGACACTGCTCTGTGCGGCTGCACCACTCCTGAGACCACCTGACCCTCTTTGGCTCCCGCAGTCGCCCTGCAAGAGGGCTCTCTGGAAGTGTGCCCAGTGGCAACCTCAGCCCAGATCATCCCAGCGTCCTCAGTGAGCTGCCTTCCACAGCCTTCTGGGAGCTAATGGAAGTAGGACTGGAAGGCGCCCTTTGTACCTCCCCCACTTTACTGCTGTGAATTGCTTTGCTTCCCTCCAGGCATCTTCTCTCTGTCAAGCTGCAGGGGGCAACATTGTCTGGTGGTTAGTGTAAGGGACTGGGGCTCAGGAGTCCAGGCTTGGCTTTTCTACTGACCTGCTGTGTGACCTTGGGTAAATTGCTGTGCCTCGGTTTCCCCTTCTGTAAAAGGGAGATACGGTTGCTCGCCCTCCTTTTTGACCTGCAGACAGGAAGAGCTATCAGCATGCTAGCTATCAAGTCTAGTGCATGAGCCCATGTGCCTTGGGCGCATATATCCCCATGCACAAATCCAGGGCCAGCGGAGAGGGTCAGAGAGCATTCGCTAGTGCACAAATCTAGTGCACGTGCCCAGGACACCATCCCCGTGCATATGCACTGGTGCACAATCCCAGAGCAGAAATCTAGTGCATCTGCTCCAGTGCACAATCCCGCTGCATAAGCACCAGTGAGTCTTTCAGGCCAGACCGGATGGCAGCTAAAGGGAAATGTGCCTGTGCTGCTTTGTCTAGTGTGTGGATTTCTATCCTGCCTTTCGCTTGCCATGTGCTTACATGGCTCAAGTTAAATGGAATTGCTGACAGCCACAGCGACAGGGAGTGAAAGGAGAGACTCCTCCATACAAGAGGGACTGGAGAGAAGGAAGCCAGAGGTTTCCTGAACTACCAAGGTTCAGCCCACCCAGCTCCTGGCGTGATCCCAGTGCTGGCTCTGCCTGGCCTTTGATGTTTATGGATGACATCAACCAATGGCTACAGGGCCCAAATCGTCTCTCAGTCTCACTAGTATGTTCCCCACTGACAGGGTGGAGTCGCGTCGGTGTCAGTGATAGGAGCAATTGTCTCCTGAGCTCCTGTATTCTACTCAGGGAGGCAGAACTCCAGCCTCCAGGCTGATTCCCATTCACCCCGAGCCCCTTTACACCACATGCCTTAAAGAGCATGTAACTAATCGACCCCCATGTGGAGGCCAGGTTGGTGCAAAGGGGCTGTAGTGTCCGCAAGAATCAGACCCATAGTGTCTCGATGTTCCCTTTGTCTCTAGTGCAGGTGTGGGCAAACTTTTTGGCCTGAGGGCCACATCGGGGTTGCGAAACTGTATGGAGGGCCGGGTAGGGAAGGCTGTGCCTCTCCAAACAGCTTGGCCCCCACCCCCTATCCACCCACTCCCACTTCCTGTCCCCTAACTGCCCCCCTCAGAACCTCTGACCCATCCAACCCCCCCTGTTCCTTGTCCCCTGACTGCCCCCTCCCAGGACCTCCCACCCCTAACCGTCCCCCCGGGATCGCACCCCCTATTCAACCCTCCCTGCTCCCTGTCCCCTGACTACCCCGACCCCATCCACACCCCCGCTCCCTGACAGGCCCCCTGGGACTCCCATACCTATCCAACCACCCCCTGCTCCCTGTCCCCTGACCGCCGCCCTGCCCGTTATCCAACCCCCCCGCTCCCCGCACCTTTACCATGCCGCTCAGAGTGACAGGACTAGCAGTCACGCCACCCGGCCAGAGCCAGCCACGCCACCGTGCTGCGCAGAGCAAGCTGAGGCTGCGGGGGGACAGCAGGGGAGGGACCGGGGGCTGGGCTCCCCAACTGGGAGCTCAGGGGCCAGGCAGGACAGTCCCATAGGCCAGATATGGCCCGCAGGCCGTAGTTTGCCCACCTCTGCTCTAATGCATCACCAGGGATTGGAGCAAAGGTCCCAGCTTGCTCTGTGATTCTGTATGTCCCAGGCATTGGTGGGAGGTGCAGAGCAGCCCAGCGGATGATCATTTCCCAGCTGTGGGAAAAACCTGCACATCTACAAGACGTGCAGCAAGGATCTCTCCCTTCATACTGTGCTTATTTCCTTTGATCATCAGAGAGGGAGTGGGGACTGGTTCCCTGTGCCCGGTTTGCTGATATCTTGCTTGTGTGTTGGGGAAATGAGACCCTGCCCCTCCTCACTTCCTTGCAGGGTGCCTAGAGATGGGGAACGTCAGAAAGTTCTGCTCCAAACCCCCTCTCCTCTGGGGTCTCCGGGCCTCTTGTAGCTGCAGATCTCAAAGGCAGGGGGCTTTGTGGTGGGTCAGAAACACCAGGGCAAAGGAACTTTGGTAGTTGGTTTTGGTGCTTCACCTCCTGGCAGGCTAACCAGGCGAAGGCACCTGTTTCCCATTATGTCTCTCTGTTTATTTGTCCATATTGCCGATCCACAGACTAGCCCAATCTCTATCCATTTGTCTCTATGGCTCATGTCCTTAAAAGTCTTTAGGTGCCTAATTCCCATTGAAATCAATAGGAGGTAGACACCTAAATACCCTTGAGGATCTGGGCCTCTGTCCCTGCTTATCCCTCCTTTCCCCAGCAGTTTGATCGTGCGAAGCGTGGAAGAGCTGGGAATGGGCTATGTGTCACCTCCTCCTGCCTGTGGGTGTGGTTTCACACAGGAGATAAAAGCCTACTATTGCTGCTCACTGAAGGAATTATCCCTTTAGAGCATGTGCTTTTAGCACTGATGGCTCCAGGTTCAAACCCTGCTGGTTGTTACTGGTGGAGGACAGGTTGTTACCTTTGCAGTAGGGGCACCTGGAGAGAAGGGGAAGGCTGATCAGCAGGTGAGGGCTTCAGGAGGGTTCCCCTATCCCTAACAGAGAATGAGCCTGACCTCTTCAGGCATAAGGATATCTCGCCTGCCCTCACCATCTTACTCCTGAGCAGCAGTGCCCCAGTCTCAAACCCGCCTTCCCCTGCAGCTCCCACAGGCCCTGACCCTCCTCCCATTGGAGCAAGTGGCACAGCTCCCGCAGACTCCAGTGGGAACATGTTCAGGCTCGGGGGAGCCTGCTGTCAGTGTGCAGTGACCCCATCAGCAGCCTCCCGTTCCCCTCGCTTCCCAGCTGGAGAGAGAAGCAGCCCTGAGGTTCTTTCGCCATCTGCTGGGGAGTGGTGACAGGGACGGCCTGGCCCTGCTGTGCGGGAGCCGAGGGGGAGTCCACATGCTGTTCTCTCATCAGCTGCCTCCTCTTGCCTGTAGTTCCCCTCTGGGCCACACTGCCCCCCTCCCCAACCCCCCAGAGCAGGACGCTCTCTGCATACGACTTTTAACCAAGGTGTACGAGCTCTACAGAAATGCTTCCAAAAATAAATGCACTGTGACACTCATGCCGTCCTTTGTTCTGAACCATGAGCTCTGTGCTATGAAACATGCCAGGGACTGAGTGTGTGTGTGTTTGTGTGTGTGTGTGTGTGTGAATGCACAACCTAATGGAGGTGTTACAAAGATGATAGTGTGTGTGTGTGTGTGTGTGTGTGTGTGTGTGT